TAATGGAGTACCTGATACTAAGAAAACTGGGGCATCTAACTGCTGATAATTAGCATGCAAGTAGCATTCCCATTTAACCTAAGACTGAATAGAAAAAAGAGACAAGAAAATTTATTTATCAGAAATTAATGAAGAATGAGAAATGATGGCTAATTGAATCAGCATTATTATCATTAAACACACCCTATTTATTCGGCTCTTTGATGTATTAGGTCATTTAAGGTATACCCATAGACGGTTGCCTGTAGGACCTCTTCTCGCATGTTAAATGTCCTCGTAAAGCAGGGATTATTTCCTCTCTTAGTTTTTTAAATGCTGTTCTCATTAAAAAAAATTTTTTTTCTAGTATTTATTTTTGAGAGACAGAGAGACAGACCGTGAGCAGGGGAGGGTCAGAGAGAGGGAGACACAGAACCCGAAGCAGGCTTCAGGCTCTAAGATGTCAGCACCACTGCAGGGCTCGAACCCAAGAACTATTAGATCATAACCTGAACCAAAGTCAGATGCTTAACCACCCGAGCCACCCAGGCGTCCTTATTTTCATTTTTTAATTAAAGGTAGAGAAAGCTATGCAGACCTTCTCTTTATGTAAATATGCCTTGAAAGTCATTGGTAAATACAAGTATGTGGCTCATGGAAAGGAAACAAAATTTGGATAAGCAAAATGTTTAAACTGGACTAGAGTTCTAATGTTAAAAAATATCATTACTTGTCATAACTTTTTATTGTTTTTCTTTTTGCTGCATATAGAAGGAATGGTATTTTTTTTTTACTTTACAGTTAAAATCTCTAATTTTTTATGTGGATTTGAGAGTATCCTAAGTGTAACAGGGAGCCAGTGTGAGTAATACTAATAACACTTCATGCATTTAATGCTTGAGAATATACAAAGCCCTTTTCCATGGATTACTTTTAAAAAGTTATTTACTTTATCCCTGCAAAGGGTATTAGGCGGCTATTCTTGCCCAAGTAACTATATAAACTTCTTGACAGAGGATTTATGACATAATCTCTTTGCATTTTTACCGCCTGGCAGAGTGACGCTCAATACATTTTTTAAAAAATGAATAAATGAGCAAACAGTAAATAAAAATTTATTTTATTTTTAATGTTTTTAATTTGTTTTTGAGAGAGAACAAGACAGAGTGCAAACAGGGGAGGGACAGAGAGAGCAGGAGACACAGAATTCAAAGCAGGCTCCAGGCTCTGGATTGTCAGCTCAGAGCCCGATGCGGGGCTCAAACTCCCGAACCAGGAGATCATGACCTGAAGTCAGACGCTTAACCAATTAAGCCACCTAGGTGTCCCTGAATAAAAAAAAAAAAAATTACAATTTGGGTAAATGGCAGAGGGAGAAATTGGACCCAGGTTTTCTGGCCTCTAAACTATTTTGAATCTGAGAAAACACTGTGAACTACTTGGGTCTGAAGACCCTTTCTATGTCCAAAAGTGGCTGGCTGTGCATTAGGACACACATCCTGTTGGGATGGGAAGACGGGTATAATGTAAACATCAGGGAACTGAAAGATGTACAAGTCCAGACGCAGAAGAGTCAGTATGGATTGTGTGTGAAGGGGAGAGTCAGGCTGCTTGACTTGTCAGAGCTTCTCTGCTGCACAGTCTGTGGGCTTGCTGGGAGATAAGAATCTTTACATCCAGCTGAAATTAATTGTTCCTGCTTTTGTTTTTTATTGTGGTAAAGAAAACATAACACAAAATGTATCTTTTTAAACATCACATTCCTCAAAAAATTAAACACAGGGTTGACATATGATTCAGCAATTCCACTGCTGGACCTATACCCAAAAGAAATGAAAGCAGGGACTCGGACAGATCCTTGCACACCCACGTTCATAGCAGCATCGTTTGCAATGGCCAAAAAGTGGACGCGACCCAAGTGCCCTTCTGCAGATGAATGGATATGAGTGGTATATACATTCAATGGAATACTATTCAGCCTTAGGAAGGGAGGAAATTCTGACACTTGCTACAACATGGATGAAACTTGAGATGTTATACTAAGTTATATAAGCCAATCACAAAAAGACAAATCTTGTATGAAACTAATTTTACACAGCCAAAACAATCCCATTAACGGTCTGCAAGGATTCTTGAAGATGGCCTTATGCCTTTTCTTATTTGTCTTTTACCAAACAAGACAGTTTGGTTTGGCAATTCGTCTCATTTCAAGCCTCTTTATTCGAGTGTAATAGAACGCACTAAAAATATTGATTGCATCATCTTGGCTTGTTTGCAAGCAAATTAACTCAGAATGTGAGTCTGAAGTGTGGAACTATAGGGACTGTGTAAAATCAAATTCTTGCAAAAAGATATGCCCTGTTTTGAGGGTAAATAGGCAGCAGACATGGATAACTCAATAAATTGTAAGGGAACTGAAATAAAAATTCCTGCTTTTTACTTTTGTTTTTTGTTTTAGTGTAAATTATATCTCACCAACTGTGTTTCCTAATTCTTTATTTATTAGGGAAAATAAATTTACAGAAGAAGAGGAAGCCTAACAAAAGAGCATCACAACATTTAAAAAATTATAAAATATTTTGGGACAAATTATAAGAACAACATAAATTGGAGAAAACATTTTAAATGTTAATTATAATTACTTTTAATTTATACTACATTAAAAAAATCAAAATAGCCTGTAATCTTAAACTAGTTAATTCTGTTAAAAAATTGTAAAAGTTTAGGGGCACCTGTGTGGCTCAGTTGATTGGTTAAGTGTCTGACTCTTGATTTAGGCCTAAGTCATGAGGTCATGATCCCAGGAAAGTGGAATGGAGCCCCACGTCCAGCTCCCTATGGTCCACTGGTGGTGGAGACTGCTTAGGATTCTCTCTCTCCTACTCTCTCGGCTCCTCCCCCACCTGCGTGTGCACATACTCTCTCAAAAAAAGTAAGTTATATAAACCATCAGAAGAATGTGAGCAATACAGAAACTAAAAGAAATAAAATATCTACTTTTGTCCAGTTTCCTTAATTTGTATTTCCTTTCACTAAAAGTAATTAATATGAACATTTTTGTTATCCTTCCTGAAAAAAAATATGTATTTTATCTATTTTATTCTTTTTATTATCTATACAATATCCTGAGATTTGATTTTGTATAACTGCTCTGCCCATGTCCATTATTTCTGTCCTCTTATCATTATCAGTTTCCTCAAATCTGTTAATCACACTGCAGCTGAGGTGATCTTTTTGAAATTAAAAACAATTCAAAATTAAAAAAAAAAGGGGGTCACCTGGGTGCTTCATTCAGTTAAGCATCCGACTCTTGATTTCAGTTCAGGTCATGATCCCAGTATTGGGGGATCAAGCCTGAGTCCGGCTTTGTACTGAGCGGGGACTGTGCTTGGGATTCTCTCTCTCTCTCTCTCTCTCTCTCTGTCTCTGTCTCTCTCTCTCCCCTGTTCTTGCTGTCTGTCTCTCTCTCAAAATAAATAAATAAACTTAAAAAAATAGGCTACTATGTAACATTTTTTAAGGACTCCTTATGAGTTTACATTATACCTCACACAGAATAAACATTCTGCTAAATATTTGATGAATGAGAGGAAAGAAAGCTTTACAGTACAGGAAAGAAGAAACAGAAATGAAAGAAGGGAAAAATTTTAACCAATTGCTTTCTCTCATTTTTTGTTATTAAAAAAAATTTTGAAATGAGTATACTTATTACATGCATTTATGCATAACTGTGCATCCAATACTATATTTCATAAAGTTTAAAAATTTCATTAATATGGAAGGTTATCTTATTTCTTAACAGAATGAGATTGAGCATCTTCTCGCATGCTTATTGAGCACCTATTTTTTTTCAAAATGTCCCCTTATATAATATATATAAAACATTATATATTATAATAAATATAATGTATATAATATACTTTATATAATATAAGGTATATCCCAATATGTACCTAATAAGGTATAAGCCCCACAAATGGCTGATGTTTTCTTATGTTTTCAATTATGCCTATTTTCTCCATAGTGCCCATATGTTTTTGATTTAAAAAAAAAATTAACAATTAAGTAGTCATTTGATTTGTTTGTGGGGTTAGAAATATGTGTGTGCGCAACTCTAAACTGCTTCAGTCATTTGGAGAGTGTGTGGCATTAATGAGATACATGGAGATTTGACAGCAGTATGAGGTAATTTGTTTCACCTGGAGAATATTCCAGCTAGAGAATATTCCAGCTCTTCCCCATGCAGGTGAGTAGGTGGCCCTGTGATCAATGATGGGTGAGACCCTTAACCAATCCTGGCAGAACAAGACTCAGACAGGACACTAACACTGGCTTCATGTATAACCAAATTATCGTTTTTATTCTTACACGTTTTAACAATATGATGAATAATGCCCTATAAAATGTAGATTGTTTCGTTGTATTTCACCTATATATTTCAGTTTTCTTAAGATAAATGGATTTGATATGCAATGCTGCTATTTAAAAAAAAATTTTTTTAACGTTTATTTATTTTTGAGAGTGAGAGAGACAGAGCATGAGCAGGGGAGGGGCAGAGAGATAGGGAGACACAGAATCTGAAACAGGCTCCAGGCTCTGAGCTGTCAGCACAGAGCCTGATGCAGGGCTGGAACTCACGGACCACAGATCATGACCGGAGCCGAAGTCGGACGCTTAACCAACTGAGCCACCCAGGTGGCCCTGCAAAATGCTACTTTTAATTATTAGTAAAAGAGGAAACATAAAATTGGTTGTGGTTAATATTTATTTTTCATATATATAGAGTCTGTGTTTTTGTACATTAGAAATAAATATTACAATGCAAAGTAGCTCTTCGGGTGTTTTTTTTTTTCTGGTATTTAATGGAACTGGAGGTAATAGTACTGATTATGTAGAATTGTAAAAATGTATTTTAATGAAAGAGAGATAATGCCTAGGTACTTTAAAGAGCTGACACTTGCCTCCACCCCAAACAAGATGATGATATGAACTAGTAACTCATAATGAAAAAAATTACTTACATGAATATGTAAATGCTGAGATTTAATGAAGTCCCATGTTCTGTGCTGTGAGAAGAAAAAAAAAAAGCTTAACAGAAACAAATGTGATTACATACTTTAGTTGACTTTTCTTACATACAATAATTTTTGTTCAATTTGGTCTTTGATAATCGATTCTTAAAAGAAAGTACAAATAGAAACCTGTTCATTTTCTGTCACTGAAACCTGAGTGTGTGTGCAAAGTCATTTTTACTTATAAAAATAGTTAATTTTTGTTTTTGTATTTTAAAGGGATCATTTGTTATCATGATGTTTGTATTAATAGCAAGAATATTGATTTTTAAATTGTTGTTTTCTGTTTTATAGCATACATTGAAGGGACTAATTTGGTTTTTAATATGGGGTATAAGTAAAAAAAGACATTCCTCTTGGTAATGGAAATTACTCGAAAATTTAATTTGACTTGTATTTAATTATGATTCATTTTAATTTCATTAGACGTAAATTACTCTATATTTACACTTGCTAAGCATGGTCCACTGTGACTACTCGATAGGTTTCAGCACTCACACAATCTCAGCTTTAGAAATGAAGCAATTTTTGAGAAAATTTGTATTCATAAAAACACTTAAACATGCATTAATAAAAGTGTATTTTTATTCATGCTAAAAGCAACCTATGTTCAAATTGGGCCAAAAAATGTACAATATTTCCTTAAAGAAAGCCATTATGAGACTTAACACTTAATAGAAATTATAACCAAGCATCTGTACATAACGCAAAACAAAATAGAAAATGTTGACTCTTGTAGAACCATTTATTTTGGTTGCTACCCAAAATAAAAAAAAAACAAACAACTCCCCCAACTTCCTTCTTAGTAAGATTCATGTATACTTCTTAAAAGGAAATCATAATTTTAGCATTTCCTGCTGTAAAATTCAGAAAAAAATAGAGGGGGGGGATTAGTGCATTTTGAAGATGAGAACATAATAACCTGTAAAAGGCTGATGCTCAGGGTAATCTGACTTCTGTCACGTTGGGAGAATGACTGCCGGCTCAGCATGAACTACAGAAGGACAGCCGTGAGCTTCTGCATGTTATTTGCACTTCCATCATCTTCTGGCTGATCTTCAAAGAGGTTCCCAAGCGGAGTTCAAAATTCGCACTGTGAAATTCTCCCTGTAATCCAGATTAGAGGTTGAATCTGCATACCAAATCCCAGGTAGGAGGTACTCACAGAGGTCCTAGTCACTTAAGGATCAAATGGCAGCTGCCATTTTAAGTGGCTTTCTAAGACTGTCTACAGAAAAGAATGAAAATATGCCTTCACATTCTTCATTTGAAAGATTCTATATATATATATATATATATATATATTTTTTTTTTTTTTATATATATATTTTTTTTTAAACTATGACTATGACTTTCTTTCTTATGGGTTGTAGTACTGGCAGCTCATGCTTAGTTCTACCCTGGAGCCAAATATATACTGAGTCCTTTATCCGTTACCATGCCTGAAAATGCAAGAAATATGCAAATCAAATGGATTTAAACAGTAAAAGGCACTTCTTAACTCATATGACTAGTATTCCAGGAGTAGGCCTGGCTTTAGGATTAGTTCATTGTGGAGCTCAAATATAAACAATTCTGGATTCTCTTCTTACCTTTTCACTTGGTTACCAGCAATGTGGTTTTCTCCTAAGGTTGAATGACCTCATGGTTATTGTCAACAGTGGCACTGGAGTTTAGGCTTCATTCTTTGTGGACGGTGGAGAAAGGGCGGAGCTTCCCATTTTTATCTTTGAGGAAAATCTTTCCAGAAATCTGCAGGAAACTTTTCCTCACATCTCTTTGGTCAGAATTGGTACACATTTTCATACCTAAATGAATCAATGATGGGTGTGTGAGGGAATACATTTATCCTTAGAGCAGTCAAGTTTAACTCTTGAGCTGATATAAATTATTCAAACACCATATCAACTACTCAGTGGGTGATGTGCAGATGGATACGGAGGGGGAGGGGCCTGGCTCAACATGAGCTACTGCCTTATGTCGCCCCAACATCCATACAGAGCAGCCTTCCTAAATGTACAATTTTAAGAATGCTTCTTTTTACACAAAATGTTCTCATCCATCCATTTGAGGGTCCTGGTAAGAAAGAGCCTTTCACTTTTATTTAGTTGAATTTCATTTTACTTTTTAACCTGAAAGATTTTAATTCCAGCCACGTGCCTTTATTGACATTACATTTCACTTAAGAATATTTAGTTTGTCTTAAAAATTTCCTTCATATGGTCTATAAATTTTTACACATACCAACTTTTTTTAAAAAGTGTATTTATTTATTTTGAGGGAGAGAGAGAGAGCAGGGGAGGGGCAGAGAGACAAGGAGAGAGAGAATCCCAAGCAGGATCTGTACCGTTAGGGCTCAAAATCACAAACTGTGAGGTCATAACCTGAGCTGAAATCAAGAGTCAGACGCTTAACCAACTGAGTCACCCAGGCGCCCCAATACATACCAACTTTTAACTAATGTAATGGTCATTTTCACTGATCATTTGATACCCTGAGTTCCTTATTATGGATCTGAGAAAACAATAAAAGGGGCCTACTTAAATTCTTTTTAAAGATAAAGATGAAGTTATTTTTAGTTTTCTTGTAAGAACTCAGAACCCTGAACTTTAATTTCTTTTAAGGAGAAGACACTTGTGCTGTCTACACAATTTACATGCATTTTCACTACATGCATCTTTACGCTGCACTATGTACAGCTGTTTAAAAACCATGATAGTGTTGAAGGAGTTAAAATAACAGAGAAGTAGGGGGACTGGGATTTTCTTTGTCCCTCAAACCCAGGTGTATTGAGGTCAGATCACTTGGAACACCCAGGAAATCAATCTGCAGAGTGGCAGAAAGATCTCCACAGGTGGAGGGGAACAGCTTGGCAGGATGGAGGTTTCGTGTATGTGAACTGGGGGAGAGAAAATGGCATAGGCATGGAGGGGAGGGAACCCCTTCTGTGGAGAGGCAAAAGGAATAGAAAGAGAGAGGGCTTCAGTATCAACCAAAACCACTCTGGACCATGGAACAAGAAATATGGACAGTATCAGTTTCTATTTTGCAAACAGCCTTAGGAGCTGAAGCTCAGAGGTCCCAAAGTGCATGACTTTCTTCTAACCTGAGCTGGCCCTGCATGTGTGCCTGTGGGGGAGGGAGCTGCCCCGAGGCACTGTAGCAATCTCAGGGACACACTGGGAGAGAACAGTCCCCTTCCTTGAGCACTGTGGGAAGAGGGTTTATTGCCTCTTCAAGGAGAAATGACCCTGCAGGAGCCAGCCAAAGGCTTTTTATCAGCAGGGCTGAGGGGCACTACACCAGAACAGGGTCCACAGGGTGCAGGCCCCTTAAGACATAGGGTTTTGAATCCCAGCCAAGTGTCTAGAACGTGCAGAAGACTGTGGAGTAGGGCAGGCTGACTGCCTGCACTACTCTCTGAGGGCTGCATGAACAGTGTGGTTTGAGACACCCAGTCTGGGAGGAGAGATTGGAGTGTCTCCATTTTTCTCCCCAACAACAACATGGTGGGGCTTCAGAGAACAGGATGGCGGCCCCCAGTGGAGGTGAGACCTGCTTACACCAAACCGCACCCCTCCGTGCCTGGTAACTGCTTGTTTACTGGAGTGAGACTGACTGATAAAATGCAGTCAGCCTCTCCTCCAGACCAGTGCTGCCACCAGTCCCAGGCACCAACAGACAACTGTTTTTGTGTTTCTCTGTTTGTCTATTTGTCTCTTTGTTCTTCTCTTCTTCTCTTCTGTTCCCTTTTCTTTTCTCTTTCTATGTTGTTTTTTTCCTTTGGAATCAGGCTCATAGTTTCTGATTTGTTTTTGGTAAACATATTTTTTTTTCTGCTTTGTTTGTTTAAGCAAGCATTTTTACTCTATTCTTTTTACATCTTTTCTGTATCTTCTTTATTTTCCTTTCTCTCTCTCTGTACTAACTGTATAGTTCTTTTGATTCTCTGCTTGGTCTTCTTTTCTCCCCTTTCATTTTTCTCCTGTATGAGATCAGGCTGCCCTCCTGCCCTTTCCTTTTTTCCAGGGTTATATCAATGAACAAATCAAAGCAACCTGGTGGAAGGTCCAAACACTCCGCCACAACAAGCAAGGAGAAGCCTTGCAGAGGACAGACCAGTGGGATAGAGCAGCCAAAACGCAACAACAGAGTGCACGCAACTCATTCCAAAAACACTTCCTGAAATGCCAGGCCTGGGACAGTGTACGACCCTTTTTTAATATAGTAGTACCCACAGGTTCAGGACACATAACAAGCTTTTAAAACATGTAAGAGACAGAAACCTAGCCAAAATGACAAAATGGAAGAATTCTCCTCAAAAGAAATTCCAGGAAGAAATGACAGCCAGAGAATTGCTCAAAACAGATTCAAACAATATATCTGAACAAGAATTTAGAATAACAGTGGTGAGACTAATAGCTGGGCTTGAAAAAAGCATAGAAGACAGCAGAGAATCTATTGCTGCAGAGATGAAAGTCCTAAGAAATAGTCACAATGAGGTAAGATATGTTATAAATGAGATGCACAATAAACTAGGTACAGTGACAATGAGGATGGAAGAAACAGAGGAAAGAATAGGCAAAATAGAAGATATAATTATGGAAACTGATGAAGCTGGAAAAAAATAGGGGAAGGAAATATTAGACCATGAAGGGAGAATTAGAGAGCTAAGTGATTCCATAAAATGAAACAATATCTGTATCATTGGAGATCCAGAAGTAGAAAAGCAAGAGAAGGGGCAGAAGGTTTATTTGAACAAATTATAGCTGAGAACTTCCTTAATCTAGGGAAGGAAATAGGCATCCAAGTCCAAGAGGAATAAAGAACTCTCTTCAAAATCAACAAAAAACAGGTCAACACCATGCCATGTCATAGTGAAACTGGCAAAAAAAAAAAAAAAAAAAAAAAAAAAATTCTGAAAGCAGCTAGGGAAAAACGGGCCATAACCTACAAAGGCAGACACATAAGGGTAGTAGCAGACCTGTCCACTGAAACTTGGCAGGCCAGAAGGGAATGGCAGGAAATATTCAATGTGCTAAATAGGAAAATTATGCAGCCAAGAATCCTTTATCCACCAAAGCTGTCATTCAGAATAGGAGAGATAAAGGCTTTCCCAGACAAATAAAAACTAAAGGAGTTCATGACCACTAAACCAGCCCTGCAGGAGATCCTAAAAGGGATTCTGTGATTGGAAAGCAGCAAAGACAACAAAGGGCCAGAGAGGTCACCATAAGCACAAAACCTACAGATAACACCATGACACTAAATTCGTATCTTTCAATAATCACTCTGATTGTAAATGGACTAAATGCCCCAATCAAAAGACATAGGGTATCAGAATAGATAAAAACCCAAGATCCATCTATATGCTGCCTATAAGAGACTCATTTTAGACCAGAAGACACCTGCAGATTGAAAGTGAGGGGATAGAGAACCATCTATCATGCTAATGGACGTCAAAAGAACGCTGGAGTAGCCATATTATATCACACAAACTCAATTTTAAAACAAAGACTGTAACAAGAGGGAAAAGGGTATTATATCATAATTAAGGGGTTTATCCATCAAGAAGAGCTAACAATTGTAAATGTTTATGCCCCCAACATGGAAGAACCCAAATGTATATATATATATATATATATATATATATATATATGTGTGTGTGTGTGTGTGTGTGTGTGTATATATATATACCAATGAATCACAAACATAAGCAAACTTATTGATAATAATGCCATGATTGTATGGGACTTTAATATTCCACTTACATCAATGCACAGACCATCTAGGCAGAAAATAAATAAGGAAACAACAGCTCTGAATGATACATTGGACCAGATGGATTTAACAGATATACTTATAATTTTTCATGTTAACACAGCAGAACACATTCTTCTCGAGTGCACATGAATCATTCTCCAAACAGATCACATACTGGGTCACAAAACATCCTGCAACAAGTATAAAAATATTGAGACCATACCATGCATAATTTCAGATCACAATGCTATGAAACTTGAAATCAACCACAAGAAAAATTCTGGAAAGTACCAAATATGTGGAGGTTAAAGAATATCCTACTAAAGAATGAATGGTTCAACCAGGAAATTAAAGAAGAAAATAAAAAAATATATGACAACAAATGCAAATGAAAACATGACAGTCCAAACCCTTTGGGATGCAGCAAAGGCAGTCCTAAGAGGAAAATACATTGCAATTCAGGCCTATCTCAAGAAGTAAGAAAAGTCCCAAATATACAACCAAACCTCACACCTAAAGGACCTAGAAAAATAGCAGCAAAGAAAGCCCAAAGATGGAAGAAAAATAATAAAGATTACAGCAGAAATAAACACTATAGAATCCAAAAACAAACAAACAACAAATCAGTAGAACAGATCAATGTATCCAAGAGCTGGTGTTTTGAAAGAATAAACAAAATTTATAACCCCCTAGCCAGACTTCTCAAAAAGAAAAGGGAGAAGTCACAAATAGATAAAATCACAAATTAAAGAAGAGAGATCACAACCAACACCACAGAAATACAAACAATTATTATAGAATACTATGAAAAATTATACGCCAACAAACTGGACAGTATGGAAGAAATGAACAAATTACTAGACACTCACATACTACCAAAATTCAAATGGGAAGAAATAGAAAATTTGAGCAGACTCAATACCAGTGAAGAAATTTAATCAGTTATCAAAAATCTCCTGACAAATAAGAGTCCTGGGCCAGGTGTTTTCCCAGGGGAATTCTACCAGACGTTTAAAGCAGAGTTAACATCTATTCTTCT